TATGATGGAATCATTAACGGATGAGATCTATAACAAAGCGAGAAAGGTATGAGTTATTATGCAGTTATCAGTGATCTTCGATTCCGACTGCGTTACTGTGTCATTACAATCAATTTTCCAACTTCATTCAGGTTATCGATGAAATAATAGAGCTTGGTGGAATGGCTAAGGCTGTAGCATCAGGCATGACCAAATTGAAGATCGAGGAAGCGGCTGCCAAGAAACAAGCTCGTATCGATGCAGGAAAGGACATTATTGTCGGTGTAAATAAGTATCGTCTAGCTGAGGTTGGTTTTGGGTTTGCACTGTACCTTACTTGTTGATAGAAATGATTTGTGAAGGTTTGCGGTAGCGATATGAAAACCTGAGTAAAACATCCTGCTGGGATTATGGATCGGGATCACAATTGAGCCTCATAGTACCACCTGGTGGTGAAAATAACGAGAATCACATTTTTCCGTCTTTTTTTTTGTTTATGACTCGAAAACCGCTTCTGCTCGTTAGGTGGATTGAAAAAATAACATTGATGAGTACTGAATAATGGGTGGCGGTATTCATCTCCGAATTCCCACGGTAAGCGGTAGCGATCCCACGGCGATTACCGTGCCCTTCCACTTGGAACCCAGACCATCTTCTAAATATCGCGCGATCGGGTGAGGCGAGCGCGACGCGATTTTTGGGGAAAAGTACCTACACCTTATCAGTTACGACGATGATTTCCAAATCAGAATATCAGACTTACTTTGAAGTTAAAAAGGATGAATTCCCTGGCTCGATTTAACAAGCTAATGAAATGCACCAATGCATTCGATTTCCAATCAGAATCGTAGTGGCGTTTGAATGCGTATGGGGTCTATACAATAGCTTGCTGTGACCAGTATATCTACAAGCCTTTGCTTTAATCCTCCCAGCCAAGTCTGTTGGCTACTAACCGACCAAGGAGCGATGAAATGTAATGCATCAGTCGAGTATCGAGCTGAGATCCGATCTTCTGGGTACGCACACCTGATGATGATGGGCCGCCCCCCCCCCCCCCTTGCCACCTCAGAATCGCTGCAAATGAAAGCATGAGCGTTTCACATAAATAGAAAATTTCATAGGCATTCCTAGGAAGCGAAGGTCGATGTATTGGTCGTCGATAACCAGAAAGTACGTGAACAGCAAATCGCCAAACTGAAGCAGATCCGTGCGACAAGGGACCCGGAAAGGGCCAAAGCAGCACTGGCGGCCATTACTGAGGTACATAATACATAAGACAGCTTTTTCCGGTTTCTCTAAGTATAGTGTACTTTTCCAAGGGAGCTGCTACCAAAGCAAATCTTATGGACTTGGCTGTAGAAGCGTCTCGGGCAAGATGTACTGTTGGCGAAATTAGCGATGCCATGGAAAAGGTTTTTACTCGGTTGGTTCCATTACCAGTATTATACTTATACGGATAAAAAGAGAGCATGCCAACCGGTTATGAGCCCTACCGGAGTTAGCTGGTTTTTCTTACGATCCTTCCAGGATTTTTCAACATGATCCATCCGGGTTCTTTTCAGGATGGGCTTTTCAGGGCATTCACAGTAAGTGATGGTCAGTCATCTCGCAGACATGTCCATTTTGCTGCAGACTGGTCCGTTCTACCTTCATCTACTGGTAAGTAGAACGGAGCCGTTTGCAGCAAAACGGACACATCTGCGTTTTCACGCATATATCTGTAAGAAAACGGAATAGTCTGCAGAAAAACGCCTGCCCTACTGTATTACGACAAATGCACACTACTTTACGATTTTTTTTCCGAAGTTTTTTCTTTCTATTTGCGCTTCGATGTTTTTTGTGTTCTGCAACATCTACTTTCTGTATTACTGTTTTACCTCTCTACCATCGTTATATCAATTTTTTTTCCGTTTTTTTATTCGATCACAAAACTTTCGTCTCTTACTTTCTGAAGAGCATTGAGAAAAGTTATAGTTAAGTTGGTTAGTCGTGCTGATTACGTATGAGATCACGTGCGAAACGGAAGTCTTTCTGTTTGCACTTCCTGATGTACTTTTAAATTCTTGTGTATTAATTGCGTAAGATCGTGGTAGCTCTCTATCAGAACGATCAGCCAAATGCTGAGATTAGGAGCCTACGCTACCGCAAGCAGAATTCCAAGGACCGCGTAAGTTGTGGCGCTCTGCCAGGTTTTGCCACTACATCATCTACTGTAGCCTAACACTGCCTCTAACACTTTCAATTTTCTCGAATATTGAAAAAAGTGTTGTGAACTGCTAATTCTAATGCTTTTTTTTGTTTAACCCTTGGCTGAACAGCTGGATCACTTGTTGAGCCTCAGATACTAGTGAAGTTTTGGTGAAACTGCTGCATGAATCGCTTAACCTTTTAATTTTTGCCTAGAGTATCTGCAAATTGTAAATTGTGCTGATCTACAAATTCAAGCCTGATATCCGCCAATGTTTTACCTGTTCAGCTATGCTGCCGTCAACAAAATGGTGTCAGGTGCTTACAAATCGGAATTCGGCCAGAGCGATGAGTTGACCAAGGTGGTACCAGGTGATCCCATTCTTTGGATTACATTGCTCTATTGGCGATTTCCAGGTGATGGATCGTGTAAAAGCATTCGCTGC